CTACGGAAGTAGATTGCCCCATCTTCCTTCCGAGGAGTGGCTGGTGGGTTTAAACTGCCAGCCTTCTGGTTAGCAGTCAAGTGCCTTAGGCACTACGTACGGATTGGAATAATAAATAGTTAATACATCCACTCTTCCCAAATTGATCTATACCAGTGCTGTCAAAAAACTTTCTGTGATGGTGAGAACATTCTACAGGTGAGCTGTTTGATACAGCAGCCACTACTCACATGTGGCTACTAAGCACTTGAAATGTGGTTAATGCAACAAAGGAACTGAATTTTTAATTACACTTAATCTTATTATGTACTTAATTTCCTTTAAAGTTTAACAGCTAGCATATTGGACAATACAAATCTGTATTTTCAAAATCCTAACAAATTTTTAAATAAATACTGACAGATTCTAAAATGCATATGGGTAATACAAAGGAGACAGAACAGCTAAAACTGTATTAAAAAAAAAAAAAAAAAGACTACAACTGGAAAACTTCCACTAGCTGACTTCACGACTAACTATGAAGCAGGGCTTCTCAACATTGACATTACTGATATTTTGGTCAGGAGAACTGTTAGTTGTTGGTGACTGTGCTGTGCATTTTAGCATGTTTAGTAGCATCCCTGGCCTCTACTTATTTGATGCCAGGAGCACCCCCTGATCTCTGACAACCAAAAATGTCTCCAACATTGCCCAATGTCCTCAGGTGGTCAAAAGTCCCACAGGTTGAAAGCCACTGCCATAAAAGCAACAATAACCAGGAGGACTGTGTGGCACCAACATGAAAGAAACAATGAAACAAGATTGACTGTGAATAAATACACCCACACAACTGTTTTTTCACTAAGGCATGAAAATAAACCAATGCGGAAAGAAGTCTTTTTTAACAAACGGTACTGGAATAACTAAATACACGTGTAGAGAAACAAATGAAAGTCAACTCCTTTCTAACTCAAAAAAAAAAAAAATTAAACTTACTGCCATCGAGTCAAATCCAACTCATAGTGACCCCCTCCTTGGGTTTCTGAGGCAGTATCCCTACAGAAGTAGACTGCCCAGTCTTCCTTCTGAGGAGTGGCTGGTGGGTTTGAACCACCAGCCTTCAGATTATCAGTCCAATGCCTTAGTCACTACACCACCAGAGCTCCCACAAAAATTCAAAACAGATCGTAGATCTAAACATAAAACTCAGAAGAACCACAACACTCCTAAAGATCTAAAGATAACATACTAGAACTATCCCCACAATCTTGCAATAGGCAAATTTTTCTTGGACAGGACACAAAAAGTCCTAATAATGCAAGAACATGGATAAAGTGACATCAGCAAAATGGCAGAGCTGGTAGCGCCAAACTCTCATCCCTCCACATAAACATTGAAAAATAAGCAGAACTGTCAATTTTCTCAGAGCTATGGAAAACTCAAAAGTTTATAATAACCACACAAGGTCTGAATCAAGAAAAAAGCATCTTTAAAATGACAAGAAAGCTTTATGGAGTTTGTATGTGCTCTTTCCTCACCCCCTTCCCAACTCAGCAGCAGTCTTAAGACCACAACCTACATTCCCAGTGTGTGACCCTGGCACCTAGCTTCAGAGGGGACAGAGCAGACCTCATGGCAAGTTAGTGTCTGTTCTAACCTGTCTGAGGGGTATATGAAGGACTGGCGCAAGGCGCGCTCTCTGCCTGCCCTTAGAGCACACTCAGTGGAAAAGTTATGGGCATTGTTCAAAAACAATATGAAACAAAACCTGCAGCCACCTAAGACCACAGATTACAATGAAGACATGTAACAGGACTGTTTAAGGCACTGAAGAACAAGCCAGAAAGAGTGTCTATGGGAAACTAGGGCATTCAAAAGTCTCCATGGTAATTTAGAATTACCATGCCTAGCATAGAAATGCTCAGAAAAAAACTAAGATAACTCTAAACTTTCAGCACTGACTAATTTTATAGACTAAGTGCAAGCAAAAATTGAAGGCTAAAGTGCAACTATAAACAGCCTGGCTAAGTGTTAAAGCAGTTCCCAAACAGAGCCAATCCCTAAAGAGTAGGAAAGGTTGCTTGTTTGTGTTTTTTAATAAAGCTTCTTGCATTCAAGTAAAGCTCAGTCAAAACCATGGCTGAACACAATGTAAGCTTTCAACAATCAACAGCAGCAAACCTAGGGAAAAGGAAAAATAGAAAAATTTGCTTTCCAAAATTCACATAATAATATTGAGTGTTCAGTTTTCAAACAAAGAGCCACAAGGCACAGAAGGGAACAACAAAGAATGGTCCATTCAAAGTAAAAAATAAAATGAGAGAAACCATACCAAAGGGAGCCCAGACATGGAACTTAGTAGACAAATAATTTAAATCAATTGTCTTAAATCTGGGAGCTCTGGTGGCATAATGCCTAAGGCACTGGACTGCTAACCAGAAGACTGGCAGTTCAAACCCACCAGCCACTCCTCGGAAGGAAGGTTGGTCAATCTACTCTGTAGTGATACTGCCTCAGAAACCCAAGGAGGGGTTGCTATGAGTCAGATCTGACTCCATGGCAGTGGGTCTTAAATATATTCCAAGAGATAAAGGAATATATGAAAAAGAACTAAAGTAAACTAGAAAAACTATATATGAACAAAATGAAAATATCACTAAAAATGTCACTAAAGGAACCAAATAGGAATTTGAAGCTGAAAGATACAATAAGTGAAGTAAAGAAATTCAGTACTAAGGCTGACAGCAAAATTAAGCAAGTAGATTTGAAAAAATGTGAAGACAGGACAATTGAAAGGATCCAGTTTTAAGAGCAAAATAAAGAAAACAGAGTTTAGGAGACCTATGGCACATCAACAAGTCCACCACATGCATTACGGAGTCCCAGGAGAAGAAAGAGAAAGAAGCAAAATGAATACTGGAAAAAATAGTGGCTGAAAACTTCCCAAATTTAATGAAACACATTAACCTACACATCCACAAAGCTCAATAAACACAGGACTTAGTAGACAAACAAGATAAACTCAAAGAGATCCGCACTGAGACAAGTTAAACTGTCAAAAGACAAAGATAAAAAAACCTAAACCCACTGCCATGAAGTCAATTCCAATTCATACGGCAGAATTTTAAAAGGCCAGGGCCCAAGGTAGGTGGGCCTGGGGCTGGGAGCTGCTTTTTGCTTGGGTGTGGCTCTATTTTAAGGCCAGGGCCTGAAGTAGGTGGGCCAGAGCTTGGGGGCTGCTTTTTGC